GGAATATAGTCCAAGTAAATCTAGAGTAGTCGTCAACAATCACAAAACCATAATAATTTCCTCCTAGACTTTTTGTTCTAGAAGATCCAAAGAGGTCCATGTGGAGAAGCTCAAGGGGTCGTGAAGTGGAAATCATATTTTTAGATTTGAAAGAGACCCTTGTTTTCTTTCCCATTTGGCACGCATCACATAGGTGATCCTTTGTAAAGTTTATCTTTGGAAGACCTACTACTAGATCCTTGGATACAACCTTATTAAGCAAATCAAAGTTAACATGCACTAGACATTTATGCCAAAGCCAAGAATCATCATTCAAGGTGACTAGACACTTAGTTCTTGTTAAGGATACATCAAAAAGTTCAAGCATATAGACGTTGTTTACTCTAATGCCCTTAAACACAATATCCTTTTCCGTATTTTAAATTATGCAGCAAGTGTTTGTGAAGGTAACTTTATAAACCTTGTCACACAATTGACTAATACTCAGCAAATTATGTTTAAGCCCCTCTACTAAATGGAGATCAGAAATAGTAGTGGTAGAGGGATTACCTACACTACCTTTACCGAGTATAGCTCCTTTGTTATTGTATCCATAAGTGACAAATCCTTTCTTATTTGCTTTGAAGTCAATGAAGAGTGATATGTCACCGGTCATGTGCCTTGAACATCCATTGTCTAGAAACCATTTTTTATCCATGGATGTAAGACACTTTTCCTGCAATATCAAAAGAGAGAGGTAGGTACCCAAATTTTATTGGGTCCATGTGGGTAAGTGGTAACATGGTTTCCTTTAGGCCTCCATTGGTAAATGCCTTTAGGAACAAGGAACCTCCTAAACTTGCATTTTTCAATGGTATGATTAAAACGACAACAATAATGGTATAAACCATGATGATAATGTATTGTTTTACTTCAGCTCATTTAATACTTTGGTATCTTTTCAACAAAAGAATATTTTGAATTTGGTGGATTCAACGTTTTCTTAAAAACTCTAGGATCGACTGCAAAAGTAATCTTGGGCTGTAAAGCTTTTTCTAATTTGGCATTAAGAGTTCTAACCTCTTGTTACCAAATATGACAAACTTCACATTCCCTTCTGGGAATACATCCTGTAACATCCTTATCCTTTGAACTTTCTGCAATACTAGCTTTTAGACTTTTTAAGTCTTTTTCAGCTTTATAGACTTTACTCTCCAGAAACGAAAATATTTGTTTATCAGAGTATAATCTCTTAAAAGCATCTTCGGCTTTGTATTGCAGTTTTTCAAAAGCTTTTTTAGTTCAGAAAAAGTCATAGAAGAAAAGTTGTTAGGATATGCTTGTCTTACTTGCTTGTTGTGGTTGTCTTTCTTGTGGTAGGACTGGTTTTTGGTATGTGCCATCAGATATAAATTTGCACTTTCATCTCTACCACTTGAGTTGTCATCGTTTAATGAATCACTATCGCTTTCCCACACAATGTAAGCTCTTCTTTGTTTGTTGAACTTCTTTGGTGGAGCTTTTCCTTTATCCTTTTTCATCTTTGGACAATCTGATTTGTAGTGTCCAACTTTACCACAATTGTAACAAGGTCCTTTACCTCTTTGATTTTTATTTTCTTCTTGCCTTGGCTCTTTAGATTGTTTTCGAAAGCTTATGAGATTCTTATCGGAGTGCTTGATTCCATTCTTTCGAATAAACATATTGTATTTCCGAACAAAAAGTCCCATTTCTTCATCATCTGAATTTTCATCACTAGTTGAGTCACTATCATCTTGCTCTTTGGTTGAGGACTTAGAGCTAGAAGCCATTAGAGCTATTGACTTCTTCTCACCCTCCCTGTCTTTGTTCCTCTCCTTCTTACTCTTGTTTTCATATTTTTCAAGACTTTGAAATTCTTGTTGATGTTCTTCCATCTTTCCAAACAGAGTTGTAATGGTAAGCGTAGTGAGGTCATTTGCTTCCTTGATAGCTATTACTTTAGGTTGCCATTTCCTACTAAGACATCTTAGAATTTTATTAGTAGCAATTTCATTGGAAACGGGTTTTCCAAGTGCATTTAAACGGCTCACAAGATGAACAAATCTCTTCTGCATGTCAGAGACAGATTCTCCTTGTTTCATGCGAAAGAGCTCGAACTCTTGATTGAGTGTGTTGATGCGAGACTGTTTAACTTCAGTAGTGCCTTCATGGAAAATTTCTAAAGCATCCCACATTTATTTAGCGGGCGTGCAATGAGACACCCTATAATACTCATCAACACCAAGTGCTGAGATTATCATATTTCTGCCTCTCCAACCGCGTGACCATTTCTTTTCATCCATTTCATTCCATTGATCCTCAGGTTTAGGTACTATTGCACCTGTATCATTCCTCATGGTAATTTGAAAGGGACCATTTTGAATGGCAGTCCATACATTCCTATCAATGGAATTTATGTGTACTCGCATGCAGTCTTTCCAGTAGCCATAGTTTTCACCATTGAAAGCAGGAGCTCTATTATACGCCTCCTTTGGTTCAAAGGCCATAGCGTTACTAGTAGATACAAAGCACCAGCTAACCGGTGCTCTGATATCACTTGTTAGACGGTGTGGCAAGTGATCGAGAGGGGGTGAATAGATCACTTCTTACTTTTTCAAGGATTTAAAATTATTTTATCAAAGCGTGTCGAAAGCAGTGGAAAATTAATGTCCTGAATCAATTTCGTCTACTTTGAACCGACTACTAGAAAACCTGACATGTGAAAAATTTGCTGGATTTTATTAGATGAAATTGATGAATATAAAACTCTCATTTCTTAACGTTTTAATGCACTTATCATTAAAGCAATATTTTCAATGAATTAAGAAATTTGTTAGGAATTTTGTCAAACACTTGGCATATGCTTGTTTAATGATTTAATAGTGGTGGTTTGATGAAAGTATTTGAACCACTATTTTTATCATTAGACAGTAAAACTTAGCAAGCCAATTGAATTACAAAATTATGAAATATGTAAAAAGATAAAGAGAAAGAAAGAACGATACGCAGGCAGTTTGGTAAGGAAGTTCCCCACTGTCGTCCTCGCGTGTGGGTACATCTCCCTCTCAATTTCACAATTGAAACTGAGAACTTTTATAATAATTTGCTGAATGTTTGATAACAAGGTTACACTACACAGACATATAAAAATTCCTATGATCTTCTTCTTCTTGTAAGAACCACCACTTGATATGAGTTGTATCAAGATTCCATGCAAGGTCCACAATCATCCTCCGCTTCCACGACCTGTTTGCAAAAATCCTTCTGATTTCCAAACCCCTCGCTACGGCTGAATCCAACTCGTGCGACCGTGACTAACAAAACCCTCAAGAACACACCCATTTTTTAAGGACAAACTCGTTGATTTATTTCTTGAAGCCTCCTTTACAATCTTCAACTCAGCTGAGATTCTTTCAATACACAGCTGAACGTTATCTCTGACCTCTTGATCCACTTCAACAAGGATGTTTAATTTTCGTTGTTGTTGTTGAATGAAGATGATTGAGAAGATGATGAAGATGAAGTTTCTTTAGGCTTTTGGTTGCTCACAAATGTTTGCACACAATTCTATTATGTTGCAATTACTTTCTGTTGAGAAAAATAATTGCTTATATATGTAACATAAAACGGTTAGGCAAAAGAAAGTATTATGAGTCGACGTATGTTGGTCATGAGTCTATTCATGTTAGTTATGAGTTACAGGATGGGTCGACACATGTTGTTTTGAGTCGATGCAAGATCATATCATAACATTTTACAGAATCAACAATTTTATATCCGTCGATGCATAACACGTATGTGTCGATGCATACTGATTGTAATTTTAATTTTTGAACATAAAACGTGGTATGAGTCGACGCATGATATTATGTATCGATGCATATAAATTCAAAAATGTTTTCCAGGAGCATCAGAATGTCATGTGTCAATGCATGAGGTTTTGTGTCGATGCATACAAGTTTAAGTTTGCATTACATGGGCATCAAAGTGTTATGTCTCGATGCATAAAATTTTGTATCGATGCATGCAAGTTTAAGTTTGCATTACAGGGACATCAAAGTGTTATGTGTCGATGCATAAGATTTTGTATCGATGCGTAATAGTTTGAGATAGTATTCTAGGGACTTCAGTATGTTATGGATCGATGCAAAACCTATTTTGTCGACTCATAATGATGCATTATGAGTAAAATACATTTTTAACTTATTTTAAACATGTTATATTATATTTTTGTAATGCACACATGTATTTATTATTTCACATATATTTACAATCATTCAAAACCAATTATGAAGGGGTTGCTCAGCCCTTCTCAATTGCTAGGATAGGATGTAGATGTCATGCATGTTATTTCATAATTTCATAGGGGTTGCATTTTGATTGTTAGGGAGAAGACTCAGGGTGTTGGGTGTGACAATCCTCCGCGGTACAATTTAGTAGTATTCTTGTTATATGAATCATTGGTAATTTAGTAATACTGAAATCATAATTCATCCAAATAATAATACCTAACTACAGTTGTATCATTGATAATACTGAAATCATAATTCATTCAAATGATAATACATAACTACAGTTGTACGTAGACACATTTGACAAAACCGCATAACTACATTTGCAATTTACGTTTTTTATTTTCTCTTTTGTTACTAGTTTTTTTTTTCTTTGACGTTAAAATAATCTTGTCTACCTTTTCTAACAGAAAAAATATTTTTTTATAAGATAACTTTCAATTTGATCTGAGAGCCGGCGTTGTAAAGAAAACTGCACTATAAAAAGTAGAAAAGGCTAACTATGCCGCTCAATTTAATTGGAACCCATTCGACAAAAAATTACAATTTCTTGTAAAACTACACGTTTGTTATACAATTTGAGCATCGGATCAAGATGTCATCAAAATTTTCCCTAGATTGTTCATCTGATCTGATTGACCATAAATTACATCATGGGCTGATAATCATCCTGTATAAAACAGAATCTGAATACATGCGACTAATTATCTAATCATCCTGTTCTTGATCACGATCCCTTATCCACTTCGTAGCCACCCACTTCTGCCCCTTTATCACAGGGCAGCTCCCATGCAGTGATGTCTGTCGAAGAAAGAAAGAATGCAAACAATAAGTCATATCCTACAGCCCACAAGTAGAAGCCACAATTCATGGCTTAACAACTTGGAGGAAACAACAATGTTTAACCACCTTAGCACAAAAGCTAACATCAACAAATCCAAAAGGCAAAAGCTTAACCATTTAAAAACACTCAACCACTCAAGATAGAAGCAAAATCCCAACACTTAACCATTTATGACAGAAGCATCATGCTTATCCATCATAAACAAAAGCTAAAATTAAGCCAACAGGGCTAATCAAAATATCCATCAATTCTAGAATAACAAGGCTAAACATCAACAACAAAGAAGCATACCAAAGAATCCCAAAATGTTTTTTAATTTATACAACTGTGGACAAACCTTTAGCAAGCATGGAGGACTTAAGGAAAAAATATCATATCATTAGTGTTGGGAAGTTCGAAGAAGTCGGAAGCAACAACGAGACCAACGCTCTAGAACCACAAGAGGGGCAGACACCTCTCTCATAAATCCAAGGCCATACTCATTCATATGCGGTGTGAGACCTAACCACTCACACCTGAACCCAACACTTAGCCAACACCCAGTGAAATTCTCCGAACTCCCAAAAATACAAGACAATTATATTAGAAGTCACAAAACTTGCATCAGGAATAACTGATAACAGCAACTTGCAGCATCATCATCAACAGGACATACAAATAAAATGACACAGCCTAATCACTATTCACTAATTTCTGCCCATAATAAGATCTTCTAGTCCAGAGTTCAAAATGACAGTTCCCAACGAGTGAGCATTGAATTTCTTTTCTATATGGAGAAAAGTTCTAATATTTTTAGTTTATTATATGTTTCACTTTCACTTATATAAGTGGAGGGTCATACTAGAGTTGAAAAAAAATCATATTATGGTGAGGAGAGCAACCACAAAGAGAGAAAAGAAGAATGAAAGCAATTACTATTTTTCTGGACAGCAGGTTCATGGCAGGTGGGTACTAATTTTAAACGGTTGAATCGGAAATTTTTTTATGGAGTGAGAGTATTTGGCTAGATGCTGGCATGGTTTGTGCATCATATTGAGACTCTTGTATCCTTATATGATTATAGTGGAAATATTTCTTTGGTCCGGATGAACCACGGTTTTTACCCACACTTCGAAGGATTTTTACGTTAAAATCTTGGTGTCCCTCAAGCATTTAACTTTAATTTATTCTGTTTGCTGACATATATCTGTTATTCCGTCTCATAGATTCTTGCAAGTTGGAGAAATTTTATTTTCGCTCATATTACTTTATTTTGTGTTTATGAGTTAATTCTCCATCAACAAGTTCACTTTTTACTATGAATTATTATAAATTTTAACTACGAACTTAATTGTTTTAAGCAAGGATATGGTCTGCAGTTTTAGATGATCTCAATCTGTTTCGGCACAGCTCATCCAAAAGATCTTGTTATTATGTTTTTATTTTGTCTGAACCATCCGATTTTTGGGAAAACATACCGTCATAAACCAAAACTCGGTCAAGGAATAAGTGAAGTTTCAATCCACTTCCTAAAACGCGGGAGTTTATCAGAAGGACTTTTAAAGTAAAGTCTCAATCTGCTAAATTTACCGAACACTACAAAATCCAATCCGCTAGTTTATTTACTGTAAACTATGAACTATCTTATAAGCTATCAGCTACAAGCTCATCCACTATGAGCTAATTATCAGTTATTCACTACTTTTGGCCAAACAGAATCTTAGTAGATAAAAATGAGTTGAATGACTGAATCATGAATGTGAATAATTAATCGATGTTATTCTGTGCAAGCTTGAACATATTAGAAAAAACCCTTGTAAAATTTGGACTTCATCTTTGCTGGTGGACCAGGCAGAGACACGTGATGAATTTAGAATTCATCTTTGAGATGGAAAAGATAGCACTCTTCACATTTTGGGGATGATAACTTATCCTTACACACACATAAGGATTCTCCTGTAAAATGCTCCTCACTTTTAGAGAATAAAATTTAATGGTTGAGACTTCAACTTGTGAGCATAATTATGTCGTTGAATCAATAATTATGACTCAGCAATTTAGAGGAAAACTAACAAATGATACTAATAATATTGAGAGCAATACTAACCTGATCGATTGTGCCATTGGGGAGCAGTGAATAAAATAGAAGCCCGTCCCCCTGTCTTGGCTTTACTTTTAAACCAATGCAGTCTTCATAGCCATAGCTACCATCCATGTTCAAGCCATTCTGCAGAACAATGTTGTGCTAACTATGAAGCCCAAATACTCAATGTAATGTGGGTATGAGGATATATGAAATATATAAAAACTTCAGATATGATGAGGCCTAAAATTGTTAACACAAATTTACAAAAAAAATTACATAAATACATAATGTAAAGAGACATTACATTTATCATTAATCTATAACCATATATGTAGAAGATGATTACAATTTACAAAAATATACTTGTTATCACGACACAAAAACAGACACACACATTACTCCTAGATATTCTTCTTAAAATTTACTCTTTTCCATGTAAAATGTATAACTTTTGGTTAATGTCCAAAACAGACAGCTCAGTTGGAAAACCAAGAGACATTGAAAGAGTACTAATCAGAAAGTCTATAGTTCAAACACTAAAAAATCAATCTAACCCACAAATTTATTAACATTTTCCTATCAAGATATTCTTTTACATTAATTTATCATTTTTCTTTGACCAATGGAAAAATATTGGGGTATAAACGTTGAATACATGCATAGGAATATCGCATAATAATTAGGATCGGGTACAATTACAACAATAATATTTGACCAATTTCAGGTATCTAACTATGGAGGAAATCAATGAAATGGAGGAGTGGATCAACCAAGATACAGCAATAAAGTTGATATTACCTCAAACGGAAACATAGTTTCGCCACCATCCTGAACATCAGTTAAATAGAGCAAAAAAGAAGCCATCTGCATTCTCAATCAAAATCTGAAGTTAAGAAAAGAGCTCGTGCGTAGGTGATTTTGTGCACGTATAGAACCCTACAGTATAATGATACAGGTTTATATCAACTGCAACAAAATCCAACTAATTATGCTTAGAAAAGTGTTCTGCTTTACTCAACAAATGTTTGTATTTCATCCAAGCCCTATCATGTAGCCTCTTGATGAATATCAACTTGTAAAATGACAATTCTCAATGCTATACTCCATATTCATTACAAATAATCACAAATTTCATCACTAAAATAACACGCAAACCAGAACACAGGTTTTAGTTCAGACGTACCCTTTGGCTCTTTTGTGGGCCATATTCAGTAGGATTGAATGCATCATAATGTGAATTATATCTCTGACCAACCTCATAGCGTAGGACATTAAATGCCTGAAACATGGTGAATCTTCAGACAATTTTAAATCACCCTGAAAATGAGAGGATTAAAAATTCAACAGAATTATAAAGCATCTTTGTTGCTGATAAGTTCAGGGAACCTAATATTTTAATGGTTTAAGCTTGCAAAACAATGGTCTTAGATGTCATTAGACTTATTTTCCCCTTTCTTTTTGTTTAAAAATACATTAAAAGTTAATTAAAGATGAAGACGACAGCTCCAAACAATACTTTAAACTATAAAAAAGTCTAGATTGCGCTTTAAGGGAAACTTGGTGCCTAAAATTCCTTCCATAACAGACAAATACTATATATTTGGAGAGATGTGATTAGATGCATGTGTAAAAAAATTTACGAAGACAGTGTGAAGAAATTAAATTGTTTTTTCAATCAATCAACAAACAAATATTTCTGTGTAGGATTAATGTGGCTTTGATTCCCATTAGGATGCATAAGACCAGCTAAAATTAAATTCTTACATGTTTTTCATTTTTTAGAAATGTGAAAGTATTTTAAGGTTGTTTACTTTGCATGATAACTTCGAAGAGCCGCTTTACCATGTATGGAATAGGAATGCTAGAGGATTAAGTTCATGCTCTGGCCTATAGATAATTAATCTCCTGACTCTGGTCGTAGTTTTCGTTCACAATATTTTTTAGTTTTAAAATTTTAAATTTTCTTGGTTAAAATTTTTTTTGTTGATAACTCTAACAGAGAAAACAGTGACATCATAACAGCCTTTATCATAGATATAAGCCCAAACAATAAACTAATGTAGTAAAACATTAGAGAAATGTCTTGAGCACATCAGATTGTCAAGGTCATACAAAATGCATTTTCTAAAGAGAGAGGGCGAGCTGAACAAGCATGTTACCTCTCCATGACTCCTAGGAATCATTGTCGCTCTCGCAATTTTCTCCTCAATGACATCTAAAGTCCCTGTTTTATCTTCAGAAGCACTAATAAACACACCAGAGCTGTTTAAACAAAAGATAATACAAAGTAAGGAAAGGTAACATATTGTCCAACTTTTTTGGGGAGGATAGAATATCGTCCAATTTAGGAAATCCGTACAAGAGAATCAAATTGATTGCTCCTTAAATTCTGAGATGCTGAAAATCTCTGTCAGATTCATTACAGTACCAGCAGAAATATATCATATATTTTAGACAAGCTAAGAATCTTTCAACTTGGTTAGCCTATAATGATACCACACATTTAATATAAGTTTGGTACCTTGTCATTCCAAATTCAGATAGCAAACTCTTACTGGTAACTTTTAACTCGAACAAATTGTACAGACTCTTTAGTTAAGTTTGTGATAAAGTAATGAAGTTAACCATTTGATTATGCTAGGTATGTGAAGAAGTCATACAGTTAACCATTTAATTACACAATACCTTGTTCTAATTCCCTTAGTATTCTCCGCAGTTTCTCCCTTGCGCAAAGCTAATGATGATGGTTTGAGGCCTACCTTTGCTGCCGCAACTATGGTTTCACATTGCTCAGCAGTTGCAAAATTAGGAAAATAAAGAGCTCGTGGCTTCCAGCTCAAAACCTAAAAGACGGCAAACAGATATTGTTTAATCAAGAGTCAAACCACAATAGCCAATTCAATATAAATACAATTTAGGACTAGGAATATGTTTCCACCACTTCATCATTGATCCGAGATAATTTATTTAAAGTCAAACTCCATTAGAATGAATGCATAACACTGATATTCAATTGAATAACAGAGGCAAATGCTAACAAGTACAAGAAACCAAATATAGAAATATCGTACTAAAAGTGGGTTTTTTCAATTCACTGAATTTTTTTTTTAAAAATATAACTTCATAAATATTGCAATATTCCAAACATAAAATATAAAAGGAAACTTCACCATTGCTAAATATGGAAGAAACTTCATCTATTCAGCCAAACATTACAGGTCAACGCTATCTAAACCATAGACCTAAACATAAATCGTTCCAATCGAATCTAATTTCAACTAAACCAGCAACATTCATAATCACACCAACTGAAGCATTTGCAGAAACAACAAAATCGCAAACCTGAAAAGGAATCGAAGTAATGGAATCATCACCAAACTCTCCCGCAATCATCAAATTGAACTTACTCTCCCTCGCCGATTCAAGCAGCCTCTGTCTCGGCCTCAAGCCATATCCATCACCATCCTGTAAAACCACAGCGAACACCGATCGATTGAAAAAATGCTCAAAATTGGAAGAACGCAATTAGGAGTTTTGGAAAGAAACCTGAGAGTGAGAGAAGAGAGTAGAACCGAAGAATCCAGCGAAGAAGAAGAAGATGCATATGAGAAAAACGTAACGGAAAGTGAGCCTAGTCGTTCTGAAGCTCCAATTTCCTTTAACTGTTTTTGCTTTCATTTGGATTTTGGATGAAGAAAATTTTGATTCAGTCTTGAATGTAAGCTCTAACTAAACTACCTAAACATTCATTGAACTACTCTACTCGGTTTCTATTTTCTCTGAGACATAAAATGGTTTGAAAACAGCTCAAAATTATATTATTTAGTAATAAATAATCAAATATGGTAAAATAAAATAGCATCTACTTATAAATTATAATTCTAACTGTTACTATTTAAAATCAATTTATTTTAAAATTATGACCAAGAGGAAATCATACACCTTAATCTAACATCAACTACTATACATCATTCCTACATGTTTATTTGTATAAAAAAAGAAAAATAATAATTATTAAACAAGTATAATAATACAAACGGTTTCAATGTCATTTTTTAGTGTAAAAAATAATATTTCTCAAAAGGTTAATATTTACTATTTATGTAAAGATGTTCTATTAATTATCAAATAAAAATATACTTTCTATAAAAAATAGCTCCTTTTTTAAAGTAAAAGAATCTTCCTGTTCCTAAAGGTACTAATTGTTGGTAAAAATTATATTGAAATAAAGTTTAAATTTTGAATTTAGAAAAGCAAACGCAAAGTCTATTTTATTATCCTCAAAGTAATATTTTCGTTTAACATAAAGGGGAGATAATAGTTGATTTCATACATATAATTTTCTTTTCAATCGCAACATTGAACCTAACATTTATCTTTTCAATGATTCTTTAAGTTTTAATCTTTTAAATTGGTTGTTTATCATTAACCTTTTAAATTGGTTGTTTATCATTATGAATGCAATCTGTTTATACCTAAAAATAAAAATAAAATGTTAAGCTCAAATGATAAACTATTAAATTTTGTTGAAAGTATATATTTTTTTGTCGAAGTAGATTGTTGTTCGACACAAAGTGTGTCGAAAAGTATAGTCTATCGAATTGTATGTAGTTGTCGAAGTATTGTAAGCAGATAGCTACACACAAATTCGATTTAGATTCAAAATATGTATTTTGGACTTTTGTGTTTTGGACTTTGACTTAGAGACATAGCTAACCTAAAACTATAAATAGAGGGAGTAACCCCTATTATTGAAAACAACTTATATTCACAGAATTTAAAAAGAAGAAATATGGTTTAAGTATTACCAGAAATCGACATTCCAAACGAGGTGTGTGAGGAATGTGTGCAGGCGAAGCAACACAAGAATAACTTCAGCAGGGATGTAGGAAGCAAGTCGAAGGGAATCCTTGAAGTCATATACTTTGATGTATGTAGACTAATCCTAGTGGATTTGATGGGAGGTAACAAATACTTTGTCACATTCATATATGATTTCAGTCGACTTACATGATCAAGAAGAAAAGTGAAGTGATTGAGGTATTTGCCAAGTTTAAGTCTATGATCGGAAGGCAAAGTGGTCGAAAGCTCAAAGTTTTGAGAACTGATGATGGTGGAGAGTATGTGTCGAAAGACTTCGACAAAATATATCAAAAAGAACGGAATGTGTATGAGGTGGTGCCACCCTACATTCCACATGAGAATGGAACTGCAAAAAGAAAGAATTGGACCATCATGAATATGGTGAGAAGTATATTGAAAGGCAAACATTTACCTAAAGAGTTTTGGAGTGAAGTTGAGTCGACTGCAACATAGATTTTGAACAGATGTCCGACGAAGAAGCTAGAAAGAACTACTCCAGAAGAATGTTGGTCTGGTGTTAAACCTAGCTTAAGTCATCTGAAAGTGTTTGGATCTATAGCATATAGACATGTTCCATATCAGTTGAGAAGAAAACTTGATGACAAGTTGAGTCAATTTATCCTAGTTGGATATCATTCGATAGGAGGTTACAAGTTATTCGACCCAATGAACAAACAAATTGTTATCAACAGGGATGTAATCATAGATGAGTTTAAACAATGTGATTGGACTAAAAAATGTCAAGAAAAATTCAGTGAGAATCTTACCTGAAAAACCAGAAACTCAAGTTGAAAGAGAAGTTCGACAATAGGAAGTTAGAGATCAACCAAGCACAAGCAGATCTCAAAGAATAAGACATATGTCTTAGGTTGCAAGATTGTATGATTACATCAGATGATGTGGTCGATAATGAAGGTGAGTTGGTACATTATGTTTTATATGCATATGTTGAACCAGTCAATGCAGTTGAAGCATTGAAGGATTCGAAGTGGGTGAAAACAATGAATGAAGAAGTGAAGTCCATTGAAGACAACAACACCTTGTCACTTGTCAAATTTCCTTAAGGTAAGAAGGCAATCGATGTAAAGTGGGTATACAAGTTGAAGTTAAATCCCATAGGGGAAGTAACTCGACACATGGTAAGACTTGTGGCGAAGGATTTCTTCAGAAGGAATGAATCGATTTTGATGAAGTCTTTGCACCTGTGGTTAGAATTGAAACAATCAGGTCAGTTATTAGTTTAACATAAATGAACAGTTGACACATATGTCAGATGGACGTGAAATGTGCATTCCTAAATGGACCCTTAGACAAAGAAGTTTATGTTGCACAAATAGTTTGGTATGTGAAGCATGGTGAAGAGAGAAAGGTGTACAGGCTGCATAAAGCCCTGTATGGATTGAAACAAGCTCCAAGAGCTTGGAATAAGAAAATTGATAGTTTTTTAAGGGATAAGGAATTTATGAAGTGCACAACTGAGTGTGGAGTACATGTAAGAAGAAGAAAGAGGGAATTGTTTATACTATGTCTCTATATTGATGACTTGTTAATAACAGGTAGCTGGAAGAAAGAGACCGAAGACTTCAAAGGTGATCTCAATAAGGAATTTGAAATATCAGATCTGGGTGACATTTCATATCTCCTTGGCATTGAATTCTTTAATAGTAGTAAAGGTTTGATGATGCATCAAATAAGACATGCAAGTGAGATTCTCAAGAGATTTGAGATGGAAGAATGTAACTCGACTTCGACACTTGTTGAACCAAGATTACAACTCTCGAAAGATTCAGATGAAGATGATGTCGACCTAACCCAATAGAAAAGACTTATTGGGTCATTAAGATACCTTTGTCACACAAGGCTTGACTTAGCATACAATGTAGGTATCATAAGTAGATTCATGCAGAAGCCAAAGGTATCACACCTAGTAGCGACAATGGGGATACTGAGGTATCTGAAAGGAACTCTTGACTATGGCATTTTATCTCCTGCAGTTAATAAAGGAAAATAATGCAATTTAGTGGGGTACACTAATTCAAGTTGGTTTAGTGATGTTGAGGATCGAAAATCCACAACATGATATGTGTTTATGCTAGGTGGTGCACAAGTTTCTTGGAGTTAGAGAAAGGAACCAGCAGTGGCACTATCATCGTGCGAAGCAGATTACATAGTTGTTTCTCTTTGTGCATGCCAAGCAACATGGATAGTGAACTTGGTCAAAGAGATAACGGGTAAAGATCATAGAGCAATTACCATGAAGATCGACAACATGTCAGCTATCAATCTGGCGAAGAACCTGATAACACTGGTCGAAGTAAGCACATCGAAATAAGGTTCCATTATCTTCGAGAGCAGGTAGCAGATGGGAAGATGAACTTGGAACACTGCAGAACTGAGAATCAGATTTTAGACATCATGATGAAGGGTGTGCAGGTTGAAGTGTTCAAAAGACCAAGAGATATTATGAATATATATAGCTTAGGCACAATGAATTAGGTGGTGTGTTAAAAGTGTAGTTCCTTGTGTTGAAGCAGGTTATTACTCGACACAAGGTGTGTCGAAAAGCTTAGTCTGTCGAGTTGTATGTAGTTGTTGAAGTGTTGTAAGTAGGTTGCTACACATAGATTCGATTTAGACCCAACATAGATATTTTGGGATTTTGTGTTTTAGGATTTGACTTAGGGAGAAATCTAACCTAAAACTATAAATATAAGGAGTAACCCTTATTATTGAAAACAACTTGTATTCACATGATTTTGTAGTTGCAGAGTGAATAAAATTTTTCCACAGTTTTGTTGGCTCCTAAATTCGACACCCTTGTTTTTATTAATATCAACCATTAAAGCTGAAGGATGTTTTCGACCAGCTGGGTCTGTCGAAATGCCCATCGGAAGATGGCAATGTACTTAGAGGATTTCTTCCAAGGGAGAATTTGGTTGCCTTCGACGTCGAAGTTGTTTCTCGTCGAAGATGCTTCTCGACGAAGGCGTTCGATTGTTCAGAGTGGAACGGTTTGAAATTCAAGCGTTTGGAGGGAAAACGGTTCCCAGCGGTTACCAAGTGCTACGTGCAAGGATCTGGAGCGTCGAACGCTGAGAACATGCCAAGTGGAGTCATCTCGAAGCAGTGTAACTGCCCGACGGTTACTTGGGATGTTTTAGTATAAATAGTAGTAGTTCACGCAGTTTTTCGCGTGTGTTCACAATTATATACAAAGTCACTCATATAGATTCGAGTACCCAGCGTGTGAGAAAGAATTGTTGAGAATGTATGTGTGAAACACCACTTTTATTAATCAAAGTCATTTATTTTCCAGAAACTTTACTTGCTTTCTTCTTTACTTTTCCTGTCGAAGCCTTTTATTTCAAGCCTTCCTTTATTTTATCAAGTCCACTTCTTCATGCAATTTACGTAAAGCCTCTTTATTTTCTTGTCATTTAACCATTATCCAACTTAATCAAAACTCCAAAATCAACCATGTCTTAGGATCAATCTGATCGATCCTGCGAGTAACCAAATAAGTAACCATTTGGAAGATCAGCGGTTGTTTACCAATAACCACGGTAAACAAGTTTATGGGTAGAGAGTTATTCTGCAGAAACCCTAAACTCTTTTCTTATTTAATTTTTTTTTCATCGTTATTGTGTAGCGATAGTAATCTTGTTCATCGGGATTAATAGAAATTCTCCATAGATTTTAGTGGATTTCTAACAAATTTAAAGTCTTTCAAATATTTCCTTATTTAAATTTTAAATTTATAAAGCTTCATAAATGACATAGAAGTATTAAAATCATTCAAAACATAGTTAAATTTA